CCGGCACCGAAACACATCACAATATAGGCGTAGATAATTTTCTTCAGCCCACCTTCACCCTTGAACTCATCTGAGTACAAGAATTCGTGGGCCATCAACTCCACAAGACCGGTGTAGATTAAAATACCCGCCGAGATAGAGTCGAAGATTCCCGATGTGATTAAGGCCGTTCTGGAGTCTGGCGGGTAGGAGTTTCTGACCCCCAAACCGATTCCAATGGCAATTGGGGTACACAAGGTGTAGGCCACACCCAAGAGCCATGGCGTCCACTTGACATTCTTCGGCCATGGCGTAGTTGCGATTCTGGTGCCTAACCCCAAACCCTCGAACATCTGGTGGAACACAAGCACACAGTACAATGAGATGAATTCATCACCGGCAACGGCCAAGGATAAACCAATGAATACGGAGTGGAAGATGATACCAAATTCAAGAACAAACACGGAAACCAAGTGGCCGTAATAGCTCTCTCTTTCAGCATCAGCAGCAGGGGTACCAACAACCTCAGGGTCTTGGTGGTGGTTGCCATGAGAGAAATGAGAAGGGAAGGGGTTGGGCTCGGCAGCTTTCTGACCAACCGCTTTATCTTCCGATGCTTTGGTAACCTCCACATCGCTTTCACCCTCTTTCTCGCCCTCCTTGACGTACACATCGGTCTCACCAAAATGCGAGTGGGAGTGTTGGCCAACCTTTTGCTCAACAAAACGGTACACCATTAATTCTACAAAAAAAAGAAGGAACAAGGTCATCAAAGCAATAGCAAAGGCCCACGGATACTCGAGGAAGGTGCCACCGAGGCACTCAGTCGTTAACGCGTCATTAGCAGGCTCCAACAAGTGAATGAAGGCAGTCGCAATAATCACACCAGAACCAAAGAACTTGGTAATGAAGAAGATCCAGGGAGGTAATCTGATGAATGAGTATTTAGAGCAGAGAATAGGAAGATAGGCACCAACGGTTGAGGTGATGAGAATGACAAAGATAGCGGAGACTCGAGCACCCCAGTGTTCGCCGTTGTAGTCATTCGACGTCTCACAGGTATCTTCTCTCTTTAAGATGTGGCTCAAGATAGTCGTGGAAGACATATAATATAGATTTAGTCTGGACTTTGAAGACAAGTAAGGTTAAAATTATAGGAATGCTGGTGAATTTATATGAAAATTAAACATCGATTTAGAGTTGTGCTTCACTGAAGGGTGCATTGCAGGAGACACGAAGGGTTATTGCGGATTTGGTATATATGCGATATTACTAAGCTTTTGAATGTGTGCTCAGAGACTTGGCATAAGGAGGATAAAGCTGAACGTTTCAACCAGGTTATCGACACCCTCTAGGGTTGAGAAACCCTATATCACAATGCATGAAGCTTAGGTTAGTGCATGCAGGTTGCATCAAGGAGAAACTTAAGCACCTTGGAGGTTATGCTATGGCACCAAAAATCCACTATTTATGGAGCCGCACGCTGATCCGGAGGCACAGGCTAAACTGTTACCATAATACCCCCTTGGTTAGATATTGGGGTGAGTATATTAGGGTGGGTATAATAGGGTGAGTATAATAGGGTTTGTGACTTTACAAATGACGGATCAACTCTGTCAAGTTGTAAGGCAAAATACGAAATAAATTCAACGGATTATTGTTCCTAGCATGATACTAATCGCAGCTCAAGGAAAGCATACCAGGGGCGGCATTTTATTACTTTTGAAAACAATTTCATAATAGCAAGCTTGAAAACAGGTAAATCCAAGTGAAATTACGGATGATCGGAGCTTCCAAACAGTTCAATCGATCCAGCTAAGCCCATTTGCCCAACAAGGCCATAATGCCAGCACCAAAACACATCACAACGTAAGCATAAATAACTCGTTTCAACCCGCCTTTGCCCTTGAACTCATCTGAGTACATAAACTCATGGGCCATCAACTCCACAAGACCGGTGTAGATCAAGATACCCGCAGAGATCGAATCAAAGACACCGGATGTAATCAAGGACGTTCTGGATTGCGGCGGGTAGGAGTGTCTGACCCCTAAACCAATGGCAATGGAGATCGGTGTACACAATGCGTAGGCACCGCACAAGAGCCATGGCGTCCACTTGACATTCTTCGGCCATGGCGTGGTTGCGATTCTGGTGCCCAACCCCAAGCCCTCAAACATCTGGTGGAACACAATTACACAGTACAACGCAACAAACCCTTCACCCGCGACTGCCAAGGACAACCCAATGAACACAGAATGGAAGATGATACCGAATTCAAGAACAAACACAGAAACTAAGTGTCCATAGTAGTTTTCTTTTTCCGCCTCCACGGCTGGCGTTCCCATAACTTCGGGGTCTTGGTGATGTTTCGCATGCGAGAAATGAGATGGGTACGGGTTGGCCGATTCAGGTTCTGTAGTTTGTTGGGTAAAAGCACCATCGTCTTTGGGAGAGCCCAAGACACTGTCTGTATCCTTATCATCCTGGGTGAGAAGGCCCACGTCCCCGAAATGGGAATGGGAGTTCAGACCAATCTTGTGTTCCACGAAACGGTAAACCATCAACTCGGCAAAGAAAAGCACAAACAAGGTCATCATTGCAATAGCAAAGGCCCAAGGATATTCCAGGAAGGTGCCACCAAGACATCCATGGCTGAAACTGGCCTGAGCGTGTGCTAATAAGTGGATAAAGGCCGTGGCAATAATGACTCCAGAGCCGAAAAACTTGGCGACGAAGAAGACCGAGGGGGGCAATCTGATGAACGAGTATTTCGAGCAAAGAATTGGGAGGTAAGCACCAATGGCAGAGGTCATGAGGACTACAAACACGGAGGAAATCCGGGCACCCCAGTTGGTGCCATCAAAGTCATTGGCACTTTCACAAACATCCGAGTGAGTGTGCGAGTGCTTTTGGTGGTTAACACCGACAACTTGGAAAGACATTCTTGTGGAGATGTTGGAATTCAAGTATGTTTAGGATGTGGGGGGGATTGACGGTGAAGGATATGGAACTTTGGTCTGTTATATATTCACCCAAAGTTTACAAGTGCTTCCTGTCAAATTGAAAAATATGAGTATCATAGTTATCGATATTTCTTATAGAACAGATAAATACGACACAACAATGACCAGAAGGGGGATTGGTAGTGAGATTGAGTGAAAAATCTCCATGGGTTACTCAAAAAGACTCGGCAAGAGTGCCAAGACTAACCCCAAGGTTGGCTCTGAGAGTGACGGTCTACAGTCAATATCGGGTACATAGCGGAAATGATACGGTATTTAGAAGAGTCGAAGCTCAAAGGGGATACACTTATTCAACTTGGTACATTTATAGAAAGCACAAGAAAGATTTCGCTCTGTGGTTCAAGTTTGGCTGGGGTATATAAATTAAATCGGCCATCTGGTAAATATGAATCTCAAAGAGCCTGCATAGTATCAGTTGACACGAACCTGCATGTTTAGTGGAAAGACCGGAGTACCTTGCTGGTTATTCAGGGCAATCCATTATACAGTGTAACTAGTCGCAGTACTATGACGTCGTAGGGTGTGACATAATTTTGAGGAATAGTGTAAGTATATGTCTATTCTGAGGAAAACTGTATGCGGTACACGGTAAAGAACTGCTAGCAAGTGCACCGCCTATCATACGGATACGGTTTAAACTGCACATGTCTCTGGTGTGAAAAAGATATGACGCGGTAGGATTTATTATAGCAAGTCTCTAGTTGTAGTCCAAACAAGCCACCCACAGAAGTTAATTTCAAAAATATGGCCGGAATGAGAGTGGACGCTTTTCAAGTGTTAAAAGACGAACAAGCTAGTTTTTATCATTTCCCAGTCTTCGACAGGGGATTACAATTTCTTAAAAGGAGCAAGGTTGTTCAAATATATCTAGTTAAGCCCATTTACCTAACAAGGCCATGATTCCGGCACCGAAACACATCACAATATAGGCGTAGATAATTTTCTTCAGCCCACCTTCACCCTTGAACTCATCTGAGTACAAGAATTCGTGGGCCAT